ACACGCGAAAGGATTGCTGGACTCGTCTTCGCAGTAAGATACGGTCGTTTCCGTATCCCCAGTGGTCGTCAAAATACGGCGGCCGAGGTAAAATAATCAGAAAATTTTTCCTATATTTTCGGTGCGTATTTTAAGAGTGGTTTTGCGAGTTGTTGCCTGTAGAACGGGGTATTTGTTTCAAACTATCATTCTAAAATCTAATTCATATCATTCAACAATCTGTTTTTTGAAAGTACCAGTAAAGAATTTTAGCCTAGTCTATCAAAGATATTTCTACACCAAATTTTTGCCTACTGTAAATAAACTGAAACTTCTGGGGAGATAAAGTGATCATTGACTTATTTTATTTATATTTAAATTTCCGGAAAACAACTAACGAATATAATTCAAAAACGCCTGAAAATCTGTCTGAGTGAGAAATGTGTCTGAGCGGATGCAAAAGGGGGCATTGTTACGTTTATTTTTGCATCTTGCTGAATGGCCAATGTCACGAAGTAAACAAGGAAGTCTATGCCCGGGGAAACATCCAAACGGCGGTTTTGGCGATGAATTAATTTTATTTACAATCTACGCTCGGGGAGTAAATTACATTTTTTTATGTAAGAGAATTTATCGTGAGGCACGTTCAGACAAAATGTTATTATATCCTTAAAATTATATTAAACAGCTTCTCGTTTAACGAGCCTACAATTCAATTATAATTAGACAATATAGTAAACACGCATAAAAGTTGATGCTGAGTGCAGGGGTTCAATAGCGCAGTAAATATTAGAATATATTGCAATGCAATAAGGAATTAAATTCATATTCTATTCGAGGGATATTTGTAAGAGTGTATCTTCTTAAAGAATATCTTTATCAAAATTTGACAAACCATGCGATAACATTCATTTCGATGTTTGGAAGTATATATATATATGTGTGCGAACAATTATTTTCGAAAATGAACATTACAAAGAACAAGCTAGAACTAGGATTAGTGATGCCCATTTAGAAAATCTTCCAACCTTAGCGTCGTAAAGCTATCAAGCGTGATGCAGCAACAAGACAGTGTCACATTAAATGTCATTGTAATAATTTTTTAATAAGACGACTGAGTTGAGTTCACGAATTGTCGCGGTTTTTGCCCGCTGTTGCGTTTTTATCTTTCAAAAAATATATGCGACCCGCAAAAGATTAGCAACCCTAAATGTAAAATGGGGTGAATGTAGGGAGTTAAATGCTATAAGGCAAGAGTTCACGGCGGTTTTTGAGGAGGTAGAACCCTAGATTCTTTCATTTCCGACCGCTAATATGATGAGGGGTTTTCAGCTGTGCTACTATTGCCATCAAAACAACGAAATCGCCTTTCCATCAGTAAACAAGGTAATTTTAGATATTCTAAAAATCTCGCTGAAGAACACCAAGCTCATTCATCTCACTAAAAAATAATATAAACTATGATTTGTAGGGGGGGCGATGAACTTGTATAAACTATCGTATATTCTACCGATCAAAATAACCTTATTACCACCTATGCGCTCTGCGAACTACAAACTTTCCAGTTGATTGGCTACCTATCTATTCAGACTAAAGTAACCTACCAGCTCACCAAGGGTGTAATAAAATTTAGTGCAATATACAGAAACCAAAGCATTCCTGTCTCAAACATTAGTGGCTTTCTGCTCTCAAGTAGCTGCTTTCTCAAATCTCTGTTCGAAGTGACAACATTAAAGCCTCTCGAAACAAAACCAGATCATTTGAATTGCTGGTAAAACTATGAACATGACAAAACATCATTACATCATGAGCCTAGCTCTAGCAGATGAAACACTATATTTGCAAAAACATTGTGCATAACCACAATTCAGGTTTCCTCTGCAGAACCACATTCCACAATATATCATTTATAATTAGAATAGGTTGACTGAGTATATAGATATTAACAGTCAAACTGCACACGTAGTTGGAACCTTCTTGCTGGAGAAATGATCTTTTTTTTTACAGTTCTGATTAATAATTATTACAGTAATTTCAATTACTAATTATTAAAAGTATTATTAATACATTTTCAAGAATTGCTGATGATCACGATCGACTGATATTCATCTAAAATAAATGAAATATATTGCAAATGCAAATATTGCTGAAAGCAGACTAAAACAACAATCTTTTGCAATAAGTTCCTCAACTCAAACTTTGCAATTGTCCGTTGACCGTCAGCATCCGTTAAATGCCATTTTACTTGACCAAATGTTACTTCAGTCCTTCTAGCAACAGCAGCTTCCTCGACCCATTTTTCTTCATGCTCAGATGCTTGCTGAACAGATGATAATCGTGATAATATATTACTTTATTTTCAACAGTCACCATAAAAGGTAGCATGAAGAAGTTTTTAATATACATTCAATTACAATACCGAATTGTGCCGTAAACTATGAGTAAGGAAAATAATAAGCCTCGGTAACGCTTGGCTTTACAAGGCTAGTTTCCTTGTAGCACAATTTTTGAGGGGAAGAAGGTCCTCCATGGGCGGTCAACCTACTTTGTTGGCTGCCTGAAGTGTGGGATCTGTCCCCTTTCCTAACTTGACCCATAAAATAAATAATAGACCTGCTTATGAAATTTACCCGATTAAAGTCAGTTTCTTCACCATCTTCTTTCAATGTCTCCTTTTCATTGATCAATGTATAACGTAATGCCGTAAATGGAAGGACAGTTACGCGGCTTTTGGCTTGACCTAAGCAAATCGAAATGGCCTAGAATGCACGCAATGCTTGCATTGCTCGTATTAAAATTATGTGCCTAGAAGTAGGAAAATACACAAAGCAAAAATTGCAACGAAAATACTAAATTATCCTTTGAAAGAGTTGCTGGCTCAAATCCAGTGCCAAACCGTAAGATGCCGAAATCAAAAAACTGTGAATTGTTTTAAGGAAATAAGGAGGGGAAATTTTTTTTAAATCTGTATGACAGATGTTTTGAGTATTTAAATAAATGGATAAAACCATTAGAAGAGTTTTCTTGTTTCAAGTGGATGTATTTGAGTCAAATACCGAGTTAGAATGCCGTTGAATCTTGTATAGAATATATAATCAGTAGCGGAATGCAGATTATAGACCAGGGGTGGGCACACCGCGGCTTGCGAGCCGCATGCGGCTCGCCAGACTTTTTGTGCGGCTCTTCTCGCTAACATAAATTATTATCCAAATTTTAACTAAGAGAAAACTTCAATGTAAACTCTTTTAATTTATTAAAAGTCCTAAAGAAGTTTTCGTCAATGATAAGGACAAATTATGTTTCAGTATGAAAATCGCTGTAGCGTTGAATTTAAGTCAGTCAAGTCAGCAAATCTTTCGTCACAATGGTCAATGTTTATGGATGCGTCGGCGGTAATGCAGCTTGATTGCGGTTAGTTAATCTAAGTTACTGTGCGATATGTCCTCAATTAAAAAACGAAAGTACGAAGATGAAAATAGAGTTGTCAAGTCAGAATGGGAAGAAGAATACGCATTTACCAGTCAGGAGAATAAACTATTGTGCTCAATCTGTCATAAGCTACTAAGTCAGAATAAAGTCAGCAATGTTATTCAATTTTATTCAACGAGAAAGTGACAGCAACTTGATTTTTTACCATAATATATAAGTGTTTTGGTTGCAAAATTGGTCAACGTGGCTCATTAAAATTTTGTCGGGGATTTAGATGTGACGTCTTTTCAGATCAGGTAACCCCTACCATAGGTCCACTTCGTGTCCGATAAAAACGTCATAAATTCGAGTGATCGAATTGTATAGGATTTCAGGCGATATTGCTGGCCATGGATTCTATTGGATTTCCGCTAGAGGAAAATCAATAAAAGCCGAACGTAACCGGGCGATTGTTTTAGATTTCGTTGCATAGGAATTGTCGAAAAGTGGAATCCGTCCATTCGGAAGGCTTGGCTGCGACCCTGTTAAGGTCTTCAACTAAAAGGCAACCATGTAAAATGGTTTTATTTTACACTGCTAATTTACAAACCCCAATTCTAACTTTTTTTGCTCCACTAACCATCAATTGAATAATTCGTTACAAGTAAAAGGTATTTCCCGTTGAATCACTTAATCTGTGTAGGCCAATGATCCGCCCCGTACTACAGATTTAAGTTACTTGAGAAGTAATATGGGCTATAACGCCTATTTTCTCTCCATTGACTCAATTTCATTTAGATTTGATACTCCTAATTAGTAGACTGGGCACGGACTTAACTTGACAAAAATAGAACCACACCTGATTTGACATGAATCATTTATATTTAAATGAAACTCCATTTGTATCCGCAGGCTAATTACAACTCTAGCAAGTACTGCGCATACAGCTGAAAGCTTTCGTTGAACTCAACTCTTGTTTGATAAAAATTTCGACACCATTCTATCGCCGAGACTTGATTTAGAAAAACCATTTCTATTGCAAAAACTTTCGCATCACAAATTTCTTCTGAAATTGAAAATTCAACCCAAATAAATATATAAAATATTATTACTAATTCTAGACCATAACAATAATTTTAACGACCTCTTAATGACGCTACACTGGAAACTTTGGCTGGTTCACGGCATCCGAAACCAAAAAAAATGAAACATTGAAATTTCCTAAACATCGAATATACTGTTTATATTACAAAAATAATATGGTGGTGTCACTCATTATGCCAAGTTTTCTAAAATAAATTTGTAACTTTTGGTTTGAATTTACCCAAAGTAGTCTTTTATACATTGCATTATTTAGGTAGACCAGTAGCGCAGAATGATTTGATATGGTGAGGAAAAAATTTTTTTCCTCAATTTTCATAAAAACTGAATAATTATTGAACCCCTGGATTTTATCAGATCAAAGTCAGAAATTTGATCAACATGCTAAATATGAGGTCTATTTGGTAATATATAATTCAATGATGATACGGTTGCTTTATTTTTCAACTTGTATATAGCACTAATGTTAAATCGCTTTGCCTTCGCCTGTTTCTGCAAATTGATGCCAAAAATAAATATTATGTTTATTTTTATATTACAAGCATAATCTAAATATAGAACTTTCAATTTATATACATATTTATATACCTTTAAATATAGATTTCTAGCAGTTTTATTCATTAAACTAAAACAAACGTGCAGAATTTAAAATAGAAGAAAATTTGACCTGAAGATGTATAATGAGATAGATACCTGAGTAATCATTTGTGAAGCTGATTAGCAGACTAAAGATTGTCAATGTGTTAGAATTACATGAAATATGACACAAACAAAAGATAATCTGATTTGGTCGCACGGAAATTTGATTTAACTGTTAGGCCAATTCCAATTTTTAATGTACACAATGAAATACGAAACGTTTATTGCTCTTGATTGTTTGGTCCAGCAAAGGATGTTGCTTGGTGGAACAGGACGACCACGTGTGGCCAAAGCTTAATTAGGGAAAACTATTACATTTCATACATATCATGATCAATATCAACGGTTTTCAAACATTAGCATAATCTTGATGTTATTTATTTCCTTTATTATATATATAGTTAGGTGTAACACACCCATCCTTACATGTGTTTTTGATTCGCAACTATTGACGTAATGTTTGATTTTAGATGTGACGTCATCACGAAATATTTTCCACGTGTATTCCACTCGTATATTGAAAGTTTGCTTTTCCGTGTTTGTATTTGTACGTTTCTCTAGCAACCTCTATCTTCAAATACGTTTATCATCAACCAGGTCCCTTGTTTCAAATACATAGACATAGCTCCACGTCAAAAATCTATAAAATAAAATACAAAGCTATCAGTTATTAATTCTAGTTGTCAAGAATGATGGATTTTTGATTGTCGTACTGTGTCACTGACAGAACAGTATATTCGCCCAAGTGCGTGGTAAATTCGCCAATTCAGATCCACCATGTTGCAAATGAATTAGGGCACAAGTTGCTGAAGTAAACAGCTTCTTTACATGTGGGAATCTCTAGTTGGGATTCTTCTATGAAATATAATCACACATTTAGTATTATGTCAAAGGGTATTCTTGAATCGAAAATGGGCCCCATGGGGTGTAAAGTTATACATCAATAACAGCAAAGGATCTCTGCATTATAGAAAATAGTCGTGTCCAGAAAAGTTTGAATATTTGTTATCAAAAGAACACCTGTATGGATATCATGAGAAGAATAATTCAGATTTTATTTTTTTATTTTATATTATTAATATCTTAGAATGTTGATGATACATTTGCATTAAAACATTTTATTTACCGCCATACTTCAAGATAATATATCTAAATTTTGTTTTAGAAGCTTGTTGTCAGCAGTGCGTATGAACAGTTTCAAAATTGTGACAAACGCAATTTGAATTACAGCGCCCGGAGCATATTGTGCATTGATGTTGTCCGCGATACCGTTCATGACCATAAACAATATTAAATCTAACAGAATATAAATTTCTTCGACGATTAGAAATAGAAAGTGCGTGAGCGAGAATAGAAAGCTGATCAATTTCCAAAATTTCTTAAACATGCCTGATAAATAATTCCATAAATTTGCGGTCTCCGAAGTATGTGAACCAAGATGGCGGACACCGAAACGTAGTATGTGTATTAGGTTAGGTTTAGGCCATAACTTTATTCCAACTTTCCTTATTTCAGTTCTATTACGAGTTCGGGGACTAGCCAAGTGACTCCCGTAGCATTTTTACCTGGAATTATGGCCTAACCCTTATCTGGTACATATACTACGTTCCGGTGTCCGCCATCTTGGTTCACATACTTTGGGAGTACCAATTTGCCACACTACGAGCATTGAATTAAACAATTTCTTCCTCTTATAATTTGAAATAAGATCACATGGTGTGCTTAGTCATTACGTAAACACAGATTATGGTATTGTAATCTCCCAATTCCGACCAAACAAACATCCGACTAAGTTCAACAAAATCTTATAATATGGGGCGATTGGTTTCATTGATGTCATTAATACGGAATATATTCACATAATGTGGAGATAAACTCTAATTTTGAAATGTTCATCAAACGCATACGCCATAACAATCGGGCCTTAGTCGGATAATCCTCACTATGTTTAATGACATAGTTAATGTGTAATGTATTCCTGTTTCAATATGGACACTAATTTCAATCGATGCCGTCAAAATATGGCCTGTTGGCCAGCACAGCGAATGCGGCGAGTCCTAACACGGAATGTACGACCAACATGGCTCTGGATTACGTAACGTTTATTAAAACCAAAGGTACACACTGTCTGTGAACGATAATAACATAAATGTCTCAACATCGCTATAGATATATGTACAACTAAATATAGGCCACAAATAATTCGGAGTATGTTTATCAAGCCTAACGTACGAGCAGCCGCCCTCACCAAGGGAAGGAGAGCAAACACTTTTTTAAAAGTTCATCTGAAATTACAAATATGGCACTATATTTTTATGATTTGCGGAAGATACAAATTCATACCGGATTAACCAAAATTCTATAAATTACAGAATAATAACTAGAGAACATAAGGAGAACGTAGAATAGTAGATGCTCATCAAATTTGCCTATAAAACACACATATGCATAAGTTACCTTACCTAACTTCAGAAAATTATTCATGAGGCAAGTATGTTACTTTGCAACAAAATTCTTATAATTGTCTGGTCGGCTTCAAGTGCAACGTCCCTTCTTTGCACACCCTGCAAGAAAACAGGTAACAAATTTCTCCTATGAGCTCTCCTTCTTCTTAGTATAGTGATTAACCACCTTATAATTTTTCGAACTTTCAATTTTGTTGCAGATATTAATTTGGAAACGCATTCGCTTTGTACAAATTCTTCTTCTAGACCTCGAAGTGCCATCGCTCCGAGCAACTAACGACTTTGGAATAATATCGCATCGGATTTCCCGACTCACGCGTACCATTGAAGAGTAAATAAAAGCGAGAGTGTTTTGTTAACGCATAAAAAGCAAACACATATTTCAGTAACGGCCCTATCAGCTGATTCCAACGTTCGCCCAAGTAAATTGATCCCTACATGACTTTTACGTATTAAAAAAAAAATTAATTAGGATAGTCACCTAGAATGCGACCACAAAAATATTGAACTATTTTGCAACGGCATTGTTTTGCAACAATGGACAGTCAGATTAGATGTACGGAATACGCCTACGGAGACGGCCATTCATATGCCGATCGGGCCATATAACAAGAGACAAGCCTGACCGACCACAGAAATTTGTATTAAATATGAATAAGTTAGATCACACAATTTAGTTTTTGGTTACGCAATCCCGATGGCCTACATTTCGCCTTTGAGTAAGAATAGCATGAATAGTTACTTACGGTATATCATATTATTCGAAAGTCGATACTCAAGTATGTACGCTTCTCGTTGGATGCATGTAAAAAATTCATCACTTGCGTTCGGAATACGATTGCTTTACGAAAGAAGTTTAGAATTTAATTTGCATAATTGAACAACGCGCCAAAAGCTAATTTTCCAAAGTAATTAAAGTTTGGGTAAATCAGAAGGTCATTGAAATATTTACATATTTGATTTTAAGATTATATACTTAACTATACTCAAAACCTTATTATAATGAAAATTGTTAATATACACAAAATAATTTACCATGGAATACGCCAGGGTCGCCAGCTTTCGTGCTGAAGGCATTAGCTGATAAACAGAAATTCAGTTGAATTATTTGGATTTATTCACATTGTTTATTTCCAATGAAAATTAAAAATATTCATATAGAATGGAGACAGTAGCCCAATATATTTTTAAATTGCAAAATAGTGAGCAAGCGTCTGGTATTTGTCGTATAGGGGGCAGGATTTAACTTCGAAGAGATACTTCCCACGAATCATTTTGTGTTGCAGCGACATGAATAATGGTTCTTGAGATAATACGTTATAACCGTATCCGTTTGTCAGACGGATACAAAGCACAACGTATGCTGGGGAAGTCAGATACCCTAATTGTGTTTCCGCTCAAATGACATGATCGATTGGTAAGCCGATTTACAATTGATATGTCAGTTAGCATTCTCGAATTTAGACCAACACATGTGGCTCGCGGCTTCATCATCTGTGGCCCGCGTCGCATTCGTGATAACTAAATGTTAATATTATGGCCTAGATATATAATTCGTGTCGGGTGTTTTTTGCCACCAGCCTAAACAATATTACAAAAAATGCTGCCTATATGTCCGAAAAATTAGTAATTACCCCCCTGTGACTCACATTTGGTAATCAATCAATCTGCGGTTATTTGTAAGTTATTTTATAAACATGAGTTCGAAAAGAAAGCCGGCGAATTCAAACAGATTTTTAACTGGATATGGAAGGTAGAATACCACAATGCTTGCTTGATATGTCGGTTTTTTTGATGGTTTTTGTATGTATTAGCTTGATAAATGACAAATACTGATCAATGTATTTGCACGTTGAAAGTGTTCGTTTTGTGTTGCACTGTTTACCTATTCTTGGCAACATTTTGGCCCGCGAACAAATTAAAAATAATTTTGTGGCCCACGGAGAAGCCAATCTTGAACCTTCTTGTAATAGAGGATGCCTCGGTTTGCCTACATTTATTATGTTCTCAAATGGCAAACTGCTTTTATTTCTACATTTATATATTTCAGTTAGTGCGTCATCGGCTACTTATTCAGTGTTGTGTCCTCAAGCTTACAATAGCAAAACATTACCTATCTCCACGAAACACACTTGAAACAAAATCACAATACGTGAATATATTCATACAGCAAAGATGCAATTTCTTATAGCCTGTTTACATGGGCAATACCTGTTTCAGAAAAGCAAGGTCACAGGTTCCAAACCTTTTTCATGGAAGACATAACCTTCTCAAAATGAGAATAGCCTTTTTAAGAGAGACATAATTTCCAGCATCCGAAGTCTGGAAAATAAACCAACATGTGACATTAAAACACGAATGGTTCAAGTCAAAACGGGTGAGCAGTCCCAACATTGTTTATTTATCTGCGTGTTGGATATTAATTAACTTACTTTGTATTAGATCACATAACTTCGAAATAGCGTTTAGCGTCGATATAGTTTTAGTAGTTGGGGTAGTAATAGTGGGCAAAGCATTGAGGCCTCAAATACGAATTGTTTATACAGTCTGTTAATAAGTGCAAATATTTACATATTTGATTTTAACCACGTTAAAAGTAGGAGAAAAGAACAAAATTATGTGCAGATTTTGTTTCGTGTGGCAAAATACAAAAATAACGAATGAACTTGATCAATTATATGCGTGCGGTACACATACCTGGTTGTAGCAACATTTCACGTCATATATTTGAATGTTAATCTATTGCATATTAAAGTATTCCATTCTTGCCATATGTCTTGTATACGGACTAACTGCAATAGTTAATTTATATTTGACGGACAAACTTTCGCAGCATTTGTATCCTTAGTTTTTGATTTATCTTTTTGTATTTTTTACTACATTTCTATCAACGTCAAATTTATTATTTCTTAAAATATCGTTTGAAGGATGTCAATTATAAATTTCCGAAGACATAACACGTAAAACGAAAGGAGATTTCGGTACTATAGCTAGACTAAATCTTTAAAAGCAATAAGAACGGTTTGATTACTGCACCCCAGGAAAGAGATACTAAGAAAAAGTATCATTCAAGCATTAGAAACGATTTCTCACGGTGCTGGGAGTCAACTTTCCTAGTGACTCTTCAACAGCTTTCTGTGAAATTAATGAAGTGGGAGTACGTGATGTATTCGATATTCAGCTTCTCAAGAAAGAAGATTTTGATGGCATTTTTAAAACATTAGATATTAGGAAGTTTGAAAAACATAAAACATACAAAAGACCCATTTTTACAGATGAAATGGCCAAGTTGTTTGATGATTAAAATAGTATAAATTGACCCACAGGTAAGGATGCTAAGTATGACTACTTATTCGATTCTTATCCAATTCCTGAATTTTCACTGAAACAATAACATATGAATTCGAACAAGAGAGCGATGTTCAAATATACGACCACGTAGACCAAAACTAAGTAGTATTGGTATTCGATCTGTCACAGTAGACAAAATCGACAACAAACAAGTATCCCTTGGAGCCCACAGAAAATTTTGAAATACATAAAATAAACGTAATAGCCTTGTCACAAAACGTTATACCTTGTTTGCAATCCAAGTTTTAATTCTAAGGGTCGATTCCAGGACATCGGAATCGATTCTAGTCTAGTCGAATCCACGAAGAATCGATTCCGGAGTCGAGTCCGCCATCCCTACCGACAGGTCGTTAAACGAAAAATTTTGTTTCATGTGCCTCAGAGAAGTTACGTTATTGATATTTATAATTAACCTATATGCATTTTTATTGTATGAAAGCAAATATTGTTAAAACAAAACAAATATTGTTCACAACAAAATTAATGCCATTTTATTGAGAGGCGCATTGGTTAACCCGTATCTTGTAGAACGTCTACATAACAGAAGGCAATTTTAGGTGTAAGTGAGGTATTTTTGATTGCTTGAACTCGATTTCTGTAACCTTCATTATATACTTGAGTATATTTCGCACTCAATTAAAATAATATGTTTATCATTGACAATGTTTTTAAGTTAATCTGTTTCTAATCGCCGAAGAATGAATCGCTAAAAATAAGCATCATTTTCAAAGCATAGTCACCTCACAATTTGAATATTCATCACTATGTAAAGTTTTGCATTCTAAATCGGAATATTACTCGACAAGTTCAACCTTTTCCCACCAACTGTCTGAATGCCCTGAACTTTGTCGGAATGTGCTACCTGGTTTTATGCTACTTGATATCGTTGGTTGAGAACTCGTTCTTCAAAACACGTTTTTGAGCATTCAAATGGGAAGTAATGAACCTCTAAAAACGTTGGGTATAAAATAAGAAAAATAACATACAGTGTACTAAGAATGGGTCCGCTAACATTTTGTACGCTGTACCATTTCAAATAATGACTATTGGGAAGGGTGACCGTACATTTGAACCCATGTACATTTGAACCCATGCGTATATCCACGGGTTCAATCTATATGCGGGTGCTAAAACCCATGGGTTAGGGTTAGTATAGGTTTAACTATCCGTGAAACAAAAAAATTCCATAGGTGCAATAGTATGCAGGTGCAATTGTCATGGGTTCAAATGTACGTGGGTTCAAATGTAATGGAACCATTGGGAAGCATTTTGTGTTCCTTATTTCACCAAAACGTTCCCTTACTTAGCACATTTCATGCATCGAGAGGCATTCTAATTCTACAATGATACATTATTTACAAATATGTAGTAATGGAGTAGTACACAGTAACACAAAGTAACGGAAGCATTCCTGACACCTCTTGATGGTGCGAAATACGACGCAAACTTCGTCTTGGACAGTTTGAGCATTGAATTTTGAGACCTTTTACATCGGATGTCCAAGCTACTCATTTTACAAGAAGAACAATATAACACAGCCGCGATCACGACTGAGGCAATTATATAACAACTTTAAGCAATATTTTCAGTAGATATGAGGTGATAATTATTTGTATAGTTCTAATTAATTTGAAATTTAATTAAACTTTAATATAATTTTAAGAGTAATTAAATTTACAGTTTTAATGTACACATATGAGATGTTCCACAGTCTCTGTTCGACTATAAACAAAAATAAATATTATTATTATTTGTGTTTTGATGATTTTAAAGTAAAATGTTATCTTGTGAGAAACAATGACATATTTTGCATTTACACCTGTCATCATATACACTGAGGATTTGAACTAACGGCAAATACCTGAAGAGCGTTTGAGAGGCGGAGATGGGTAAAAATAAGTAAACTGTACTGTGTATGAAAACATTAAAAAAATATGTTGTACAATTATCTGCACATGATATATTCGCAGAGTTGTGTCCACATTTTGGTTCTCTTTGGGACGTTGTTTATACATGATTACAAACTAGATTCCGCACAATACCGCAAGTTAATGATTAACCAAAGATCCTAAAAATACATTTATATAATTATGTGTATTCATAAAGGAGTGCGTGTCCTATCGAAGTAACCTTTAAATAAATCCTACGCAACTATTAACTTGAAGCACATTAACAAAATTTATAGATGCGTACCAGTTACAGGAAGATAAGGAACTAACAACAGGCCTAAAGGTATGACTATGACGTAATGCGCAAAACGCTTTTAACGCGTGAAACTGAATTGTAATAAACGGTACAACTTTGGGGACAGCCCCGCGGTAAGCAAGCTGGTATTGTCGTGGTGTGAGACGATTCTGTTTCAGTGTTTCTGTATGAGCATATAGTTATAGGACTTGACAGACAGTTAATTTGCAGGCGAGTGAAGAATAGGAAGTAGGTTTTACTCAAACTGCAACGTAAATGCAAAATAAGCAGATTAACAATATCTTCTCAGAGTATAGGATAAACTTTTTTTCAAAATTATCAATGTTGTATTTCAGAGAATTACTGCGATTTATTTTATTCAGCAAGATTATAGTATATGACATAGACTTTATGTAGGATTAATTAATTCACTTTACAGTGTTTGTGACGACGCCATGGGCGCAATTTTATAGCATGAGTTATATACAAGATCAATAGTTTGTCGAAGATATGTAATGGTTCACAAACGACGTTACACAATTTCATAATGAAATGTTAAAATAATCGGAATGAAATAAAGCAGTTCTTAGTTTGAGTGTATTATTTATAGATTTTTGAGGTCTATGGGCTCTGCATACATACTGTGAAAAGAAAATAGCAAATTGAAAGTACCCACATTGTAGTCTAGAATTGAATATTTTCCAACCTATGGGTTTTATGTGGGAAGAATCAGGGCGTAAAATCTTGTCAACATCTAAAGTCACGCCACGATTTCAAAAACTCGTTGAGTGAAAACAAGCGTTTACTCACTTTTAAAGCAATTTCTAGTAAAATAAATAGTATGTATAAAAATGATTGTTTTGTATATGGTAGTTCAATATTCCACCAATGTGATGACGTTCAGTATTTGAGAAATCTCTGGATCGCTAGTTTTTGCAAGCTTTATTCTTCGAAAAATTTGGGTTGCTTAAAATAATGGCTGGGGACCACGGGTCTGGATAGATTACAGAGGGCAACAAATCAAGATCCCATTCATGTGAATGTATTCGTAGACAATTGAAGAATTGTTCAAGTTGTCGTTCAATCAAACGTCCCAATGGTAGTTTGGCAGTGGATCTTCTTACGTAGCTCGTCGATGAAAGAATCAAGTTTCCGACCGAGGGTCAGGGTTAGGCCATAATTTCAGGTACAAATACTACGGGAATCACTTGGCTAGTCCCCGAACTCTTAATACAATTAAAAAAGGGAAAAATGAAAATAAATTATGTCCTAACCTGGTACACATACTACGTTCCGGTGTCTGCCATCTTGGTTCACATAATACGGGAGCGCCAAAAATCATGATGAAAATCGTTGTTTCAAAAAGAGACCACTTGAACATAACATTATTGAATGTTTTTTTGGAAGTGATTCACAACTTGTACGCAAATTATCAAACAGATCTACGCTGCCCTAGACCATAGATTCCTAAAGTGCTCCATACGAAGCCCTGGGAGAAACTTAGGGGCTTCGCGAGCTATTCGTTTACTTATTAAAATACTGACTCGACTAATTTTGTTACTAACGAAAAGAAGCAATAATGGTTTTAATAAAATTTGACAACGGTGGCGTCGAAATGTGGCAACAAGGCTGTAATTCAAATATGACATAATTTATAAGTTCCAATAGATAATTTTTATTTTTATAAATTTATTGTGGATCTGCGTAAATAAAAGTCAACCTACTTACTGGCTCCATAACACCAAAAGTTTGAGGATTCCTGCCCTAGACTAATCCTATGAAATATAGATGTTCACTGGCGAATCCTTCAGATAAATAATTCTTAATAAGTTGGTGAATAAACTAAGCAGGTGAACGCCTCGTAATGTTATATATGACAATAATTCCCAACTGCCTTGAAAAATTAAGTACGTTTATAATTGGTGCACTAGTTCAGTTTTGGATTATAAAGCATGGGTGAAGTACAATGAACTGCGTCCTATCTCGATCAAGTTGCATGACTATTGTCCATTGCCATAACTACTAACTGCCTGCAGTAATTGAAACACAAATTTGAAAATGAACAAAACCAGAATAGTTTAGTGAGTGTTGTAGAAGTCACCATAATTGCATGCTATTTTTCGGTTTCAGTTGCTTAATTAACTCGTAAACCTTACAACGAAGAATGTGTGAAAAAAGTTCATCCTCATACAACGTATCAAAATTGTCGAATGAGCTTCAGAAAATATTAGGCAGTAACTACTCACCTGAGTCAATGACAAACATGTTAAATAAATGTCACGAACTTGGAGTATATGAAGTCAGAGATCTTTTACGGCTAGAGGACGACGATGTTTCCGATGCCATGACAAAAATTGACATCATGAAATTCAACGAATACAAAGAAGTTCAGTTGTCTGCTAAACCGTACATGGGAGAAAATTCGGATTTAACTAACGAATTTTTGGAAATATTTGGGAAGAGTTTTCCCGAAGATTCCATGAAAAAGTTGCTGGAAAGATGCAAAAACATTGGTGTATACGCAATTGAAGACATTCGACTTATGGACAAAAGTGACGTTTCCGACATTCTTAAGAAATTAGATGTTAAAAAATTTAACGAATATAAAAAGACAAAGCAATCCTCCACTCCAACAAGTGGCCTGAGGGATTCGCCAAAATCAAGAATCAAAAAAGAGTTTTTAACTATTTTCGGAAGTCACTACCCCGAGGAATCACTCCAGAAATTAATGGCGGTGTGTGAAAATATCGGAGTACATGATGTGGAGGACATACAAATTATCGAAGAAGATGACCTCACTGATATTCTTAAAAAATTGGACATTGAAAAATTTAGGGAATACAAAGTGAAGAAAGGAGTTCAAATTCATGGTAATATCAATTTTTAACGGTATTCAATAACACTAACAAAATTTATGTAGCAAACATCTAATTCACAAAAAATATAAGAAAAAGGGAATTGCTGTGATAAGAGCATAGTTATCAAAAAAATGGCACAAAACATCACTGATTTTTGTTTTCAATTCATTTTCATTCACTGCTTTTTCATTCATTTTCAACAGCTGTCCAAGCTAACTTTCTGGTAGCCAACGCTGGAAATATACAGAGTCTGAACTTTAGCAACAACAGAGTCACCATAGGTATTATTTCTATTTTTTTATAATAATAACTATTATTCCTGCTTTAATTAAAAAAAATACAATTATCTTCTTTAATTATTTCAGGAGGGCATCACATTCATTGAATAAGAAGAAAAGCATTAAGTGAAAATTACTATATCCAAAAAGTTCAACTCAACAAATTTGCCTATTTCCCTTTATCCAACAAAATTAGCTGATAGTGAAATATACTGAACATCGTAGGATTTTGGTGATAACTCAATCCAAATTTCTGCTCATTCAAACTAATGATTGTTCACAGTTCAAGAATCTAAAGAAGCGTAGGCAACCAAATAAGTTCAAACCAATGAAAAAAGTATGAAACATCTTTGCGTTACCTGGCCGCATAAATTTGCATTCAACGGTGTTGTATTTTTGCTTTTTTACTCAGAGCTGTGAAGTCATAGTTTATCTTGTTTCCATAAAAGTTAGAGCCGGAGTCGGATTTTTAAACTGTCACACGTTTCTGATAGATCCGGGAGTGGGAGTCCACTGTAACTTTTCTCCGTCTCCATGATCCTGATTTTTACAAAGTATACTGTGTTATCGTGTATTACAGATTTTTTTTTATGAAAGCAGTGTTTTTCAATAATATGCGAAAAAAATATAAGTCGAGTATACAACCATAATGCGACAACTTTCTGATTGGGTTTATTGTGCTAAATATTTTTTGTACATATTTCTTTTAATTAAAATTAAATTGAATCAGATGTGGGACACCTCTCAACATGATGATTTTTTTCTAGTTTTTAGGATTTTGTTTCATTTACATATGTATATTATCATATAATTACTCTGTGTGTTCTAAATTCTATCAAATTTAATTCTATTGAATTTGTTTGTCAATGATCCTTCTATGTTCATAAATATTATATATCATTTTTGAGATATAACAGTAAATTTATCAAGTGAGTTTTCTATATTTTGTGGTCATGGATATGTTTTTTGCATATCAACGTAGCAGTGTAAAAATCTCTTAAATTTCTCTTTTTTTCAACTACTGGATTAAAAGCTTTTTACTAATATTGCTGGTATTTCTTGAGTCACTACAATTTCTGCCGATCGTTTGTGTCAAGAGTGGGTTTCGAAAACGGCTACCATAGCTTAGTTTCTGTAGGTACATTTTTCAGTTGTCCTTCGTTTGATTTGAATTAAATATGTGTTGATACGATTTTGATGAAACAGTAGGAAGAACGCCAATGAAGCTTTTTAGATTACCCTTATGCAATTTGATGCTTCAACAATAACAAAAACCACAACATGGACAACAATTTAGCAAAACCATCTACAGGTTCACCTCGTGTCCAAAAATCTGCACCCACAGGTAGGTAGGCTATCGAAGACCCAGTTTCTTTCCGCAAATCCCCAGGCTTTCATTCATCTCTATAACAGGTGACACCCCATTCCACGAACTGCAAGAAATAAAGGGGAGCTCTGCCATAATAAATCAAGAAACCTGCACACTTAACAATGGCAAAGGCATAAAAACTAACTTCAGAGGTTATGGTTAAATGATCATTCAAGCAATGGAGCAAGCACGGATTTAAGGTTGAAATCGAATTCTGTAATGAGTTTTGATATTATGTACAATACTCCAGAAGCAATATTTATCGTGTAAGGCCAGAATCGCTTCACGATTGTTTCAGTGTGGCGTCACACATTTGACAGCTTCATACATGCATGAATGTCAAATCTGACCTTTCAGTTAAAAACAAATGGCAATGACTTTTTAGAAACCTTAATATCTCAGTTATTTTATAGTTATGCCTCGAGCCGATTAGAGATTCCGCTTTATTTAAAAAGCCAAACATTTAGTAACAATCCATAACAGATTCGTCTCCAATTTCTAGATGACAAAAAAACAACACTCACCTCAAACCATTTTTGAGTACAAACTACCTCAATTTGAGCAGGAAATTAAAAAACGCTTCTGAAAACATCCCCAACCCCGTGTCTTTCGCCATCGTCGCATTGCATGGAATCTAATGAATAATAAGGCGGCCGGAATATAATTTGACCTATTAAATAGGTGGTGAATTGATATTACTATCGACACATTTGACAGCTTCATACATCCGTGAATGTCAAATCTAGCCTCTCAGTTAAAAACAAATGGCATTGACCTTTTAGAAACTTTTTTTTATTAAATTTAATCTTAATATCTCAGTTATTACTTACCGATCTTAAGATCGGTAAGTATGTTGATAGGTATTTGTCTGTATGTCTGTTTGTTTGTCTGTGAGATGAACGCGATATTTCACGAAAGCGAGTTTGAATCTGCTCCAAATTTTGCATGTGCATATCTCGGACCAGAAGTCTATTGATTTTGGATGAATTATGTCGTATAATTAGCGAGTTATTGATTAATTAGTGATGGGACACGCGTCACTATAGAATCGTGAATCGAAACCTTAGTTTCGATCGATAAGTCTTCGGTCTCCGACCGATATTCTCGTTTTATAGTTATGCCACGAGACGAGACGATCAGAGACGCCGCGTAATTTGAAAATGCCAAACAATTAGTAACAATCCATAACAGTCTCTTCTCCAATTTCTAGATGACAGAAAAACAACACTTACCTCAAACGATTTTTGAGTACAAACTACCTCAATTTGAGCAGGAAATTTAAAAGCGCTTCTGAAAACATCCCTCACCCCGTCAAAGTGTCTTTCGCCATCGTCGCATTGCATGGAATCTATTGAATGCTAAGGCGGCCTGAATATATATAATTTGACCCATTAAATAGGTGGTGGATTGATATGACTCCAGAACAATTATTACCGATGTGTCAAATAAAAGCGATTGCCTGATAAAAAATATAATTGATTAATTAACATCACTCGTGGAGATGGGCACAGGAGAGCACAACAATCACAACACTGCGCGTTGTTGAGTTGTTGCTTTGCTCATTCCCAGACATACCAGTATGGTAGCCTACATCTAGTTTTAGTCTCAGACATATTTCTCCGTGGTTTTCTTTGGTGACTAGTTTAGCTTCAACTATTAAAGCCTTATATTCTAGATTAATAAAGTCGTGTAAGCTTTAAGTTATGTTATTCTTGAAGTAAGATGCTCTGTTTATAGCAGTTATGAAGCGTCTGGCGCCATCGGCCTGCTATATTCTTCAATTCACGGTAAGCAATGAGTACCAAGTTTTCTTTAAGGATATGTTGAGTGAAATTTCTTTCTTTCGTTACTCGTTTTGAAGACACAGTTTATTATATATAAATGTCATTGTGCAGTCAAGCTCTTCGATTCAAATAGACATATTTACAAGTTATGGTCGTAATAGGCGTCACTTTCACAAACTATATTTGGTAACAAGATGTTTAAAATATTACTTCGTGCCGTATAGGACTATAGGTACTCCGGGTTAACTATACTCCAGAATCAACTAGTAAGTAAGGTCACCTATTTTTCATAGATCGACCAGTGGGCCATGGCCCACCTCTAGGCCACAGAAACATTTTTAGGTGGGCAACAAACATAATAAAAATTGTTAGAGTTATTTATAAACTAGGTAAACGTTGATAGGAATGAATGAAGATGCTGTTTTTGCTACTGAGTGGCAATTCTCATTTTAATTATTGATACTATTTGGTGGAAGTGTCTATCTTTTTGAATTTTTTTTTTGTTTTTATGTAGTTTTTCCTTTGCATTGGAGAGTTAATCGGCCATACAATTTTTTGTATAACAAAAGTGGGCCACGTAAGAAAAAAGGCCCCCTTTTTAGAATTTGTCAAGTCTCGAGTCCCACCTCAAAAATAACTAGCTAACAATAAGCTACAAATAACAGATAGTAAGGCGGAAGTATGTTTATTCAAAAAACACGTCGACTGAAGATGATCTTAGAAATCCATTACATTTACAGCACATATATTTATACTTAATTTACTTGAAGATACTGGGAATCTTGCGATTATTTATTGTTATTTTGTTGTTTCTGAATATCGACTTGACGACCGCGTGGGTAGTTTTTCTTTGAAACTTAAGTTTTGCCTGAGGGCACTTGTTAACAATTGAAAATCGTTGGAGCGGAGCGCGAAGACAGATGAGCTACGTGATTCGGGCGTCTCCGTCAAATCAAGTGGAACAAGTAATTTGGTATTAGTGGAATCAGTGTCGCTTTTTCAGCAATAGCCAATAACCAATAGCTTACAAGATGCCAAAAGAAGACGAAAATAAAGATAGGGGTAACTGGGATAACAAGGCAGATTATTTACTCTCGTGCATCGGATATGCTGTAGGACTTGGTAATGTTTGGAGATTTCCGTATCTTGCGTATAAAAATGGTGGAGGCGCTTTCCTTATACCGTATGTCATTATGTTGGCATTTGCTGGGCTTCCAATTTTTTTCATGGAATGTGCATTGGGACAGTTCTGCAGTTTAGGAGCGACTTCGGCGTGGAAATTCAATCCATTGTTCAAGGGAGTTGGCATATGTATGGTCACACTTTCTGCTCTCGTCGGAATATATTACAATGTAATAATTGCCTACACAGTCTTCTATTTCTTTTCCTCGCTCACAAATTCGCTTCCATGGGAATCTTGTGATAATTGGTGGAATAATAAGACTCTGTGCAGTACAAATTTTACATACATCTGCAGTCCTGACTTATCCAGTCTCACTGCTGCACAATTCAATACTGTCGAACAGAGGGTATCAAGTTGGTCAGATGACGGTGTGCCAGTGCCAGAAGTGGAGAGTGTGGCAAATGTTTTGGGCGTTAACATTTCTACCCTGAATTGTGGAACAGCTAAACAGAACGCTTCTAGAGGTTCTAGCCCAAGTGAAGAATATTGGGAAGAGTACGTGTTGGGCAGACCACCAAACATGAATCCGGAAAACACTGGCCCCGTTCGCATGCAACTGGCACTTGCGTTATTGGTTGCGTGGATCGTGGTATTCTACAGCTTGATCAGAGGTATCAAATCGTCTGGGAAAGTGGTTTATTTCACCGCTCTTTTTCCATACGTCGTGCTCCTTATTTTGCTTATCAGGGGTGCAACTTTACCCGGAGCATACGATGGCGTGCAGTACTACATTGGATATGAATCGAATATTGAAAAGCTGAAAAGTGCGGAAGTCTGGAAAGACGCTGCGACACAAATTTTCTTCTCTCTAAGTGCCGCCTGGGGAGGATTGATTGCACTTTCGTCATATAACAAATTCAACAACAATTGCTTCTTTGACTCCGTTCTTGTCTGCAGTGTAAATTGTTGCACGTCTCTTTTTGCTGGGTTTGCTATATTTACTATCGTTGGGCATATGGCACATGTCTTGGGAAGAAGAGTGGACGAAGTCGTCAAAGACGGCTTTGCTCTCGCGTTTATAGCATATCCCGAAGCTATCGCTCAGCTGCCCGTGTCACCTCTGTGGGCTATTCTGTTCTTCCTAATGCTTTTCACCCTGGGGCTGGACAGTCAGTTTACAATTTTAGAAACAGTGGCAACTTCTGTTATTGATGCCTTTCCAAGTGTGTTCCGCAACAGGCGTTGGCAACTAACGCTTATTTTGGCAATAGTTATGTTTCTTCTTGGTCTGACATGCATCACAAATACGGGAATATACTACCTTCAACTCGTCGATCATTATGCCGCTGGATGGGGATTACTGATTGCTGCTGTGATGGAGCTCATAGGGGTCTGCTGGGTGTACGGAGGGAATCGCTTCATAAAAGATATTGAAATGATGATAGGCAAGAAACATTGGACCTTTTGGATCTTCTGGCGAGCTTGTTGGTTTTTCATTTCACCACTTCTTTTGATCGCCGTTCTCATATGGTCACTAGTTACATTCACACCTGCATCATATGCGGGTTACGATTATCCGGACTGGGCTAATGGCCTAGGATGGGCTGCTATCGGGTTCGCTCTATTATTCATTCCGCTCATGGCCATTGTTGCGATTATCAAAAACAGAGGAAACATAATCAAAGCGTCAAAACCCGAAATGGATTGGGGCCCGTACCTGAAGAAATTCCGTGGCCAAAGATACGCTTTGATGAACGAGCCTGTCGAAGCATTAGATATTCAAGAAATGGGAGAAAGAAATCCAACCTTTGAACAAGAAGAAGACGGTCAAACAAAGATGTGAATATCTTGTATATCTGACGTCCAGAATCACTGGCGGTACAATTTTACATAGATTCGCCCATTTGCCACGTGATTGCAAACAGACGCCCTATACAATTTCTAATTAAAATACTATTTCCCTGTACAATTTTATAAAGGATTGTTTAGGTTCCCCAGTTGTTGTTTCACGTCACTGGGAAGCCTGTGCCACTCTGTAAATGTCTATTAACTTGAAAATGGCTAGACTTCAATTTTATCATTCAATTTTGACGTTTAGCAACTATCGGTGCGCAACGGCATCATCCTAATATTTATGTTTTTAGTGTTAGTATATAGCCAGCCAGTGTTTGTGTCATCGATCTAAATGTATTTTTATTTGAGAATACTTCACAATAACAAAACAAGTAGCTACGAAGCACCTTATAATTCAAACAAGTTCAAATCTCATTTTCGACGAAGTTCGCACAATTGAGTGTAGCCCAAGCGACTTCAGAGCCGCCGACAACTATTTGGTGTAGAGACGGTATTAAATTTCACTACCTCGAAGTAAAGACGTTCAAAACATTTATCTCGTTTGGTAAACTGAATAAAACCCTTTTACGGATGACTAATTATTACAAGGCTCATTGTCCCATACTAACTTTTTCTATAAACAGATTATTTTAGTATGTCTAGAATGACGTCAAAAGACGATGTCGAGGGTGTAAATATTTTGAAGTAAAATGAGCTATTACCTCCAATGAGGCGGAACAACACAATATATACTTCACATGGTATTTGTTTTTTAGTATTGTTATACCTGCCTCACGAATGTGCTAACCCTATATCCGTCAGTTGCATAAAACTATCTTTCGCGTAAGTGAACCGAAATACTTTTGCCAATATATGTACAAACATGATCATCCCAGTTGACTGCATGACAATTCAATTGATAATGTGAGGTGTTAACTTAATCCCAATAATATTTTTCATTAAATATGTATTCATATAATATCCAATTACTAACTTTTCTTTCTAAAACTAATATTTATATATACTTATGAATAAATGACTTTTCAAATGTAATAAAAACGTTACCACAATAGCCTTTTTATTGTATCTGTTTCTCTGGTTTGAATACCCGATACTGAATAGGCATTGGGAGTTTCTGGTTTTCGTATTTCCGAGAAAATTAGTAGTGTCTTAAAAAGAAAACGTGTATCCCTCAAAATTTGTTCCCCCACTCAACATATTTTTATTGGTTATTATTGTTTGATTTATGCCTTTACGAAGATAGTCTTCATTGGAATCAAAAAAATTGGAGGATTTATTTATTTTAGTATACTATTGGTCTTCAAATACACCAAATGAATTTTTCTAGTACCCTGGAAAGGAGCGAGGTTTCAACACTTTTGGCAAAAGTAGCATTCTACCAACAAAAAATATACAGAAATTTACAAGTGCCATATTATATCTGGTATTATTCTAATAGATATTCAAAAAAAGGATCGTTTACCCAAAAAATAGGTCCAGGCATAAACTCGCTTCCACTTATTTACACTTGTCATCCGTGTAAATGTCGTTCGTAATCGATGTATTACCTCGGGCAAAAAATGGATGAACTCGATATCTTTTGTGAAGAGTTCAATGCTATTACATTGTACAAATTACCATTACCACACTCGTACTTGGTATTCGATTCCCCATCAGAGCATTGTTTTTATGTATGGACTTTATTGTCGGACGTTAGATTTGAAAGTAGCTAAAGTTTGCTCCGCAGCATGTCATATTTGAAGCATGAATAAATTTGTTAAAATATACACTTGAAACAAGGAAATTCATAGGTTCCACTGAAGCTTTTTCTCGTATATTCTAACAACTAGTTAAATGCAGAAAAAATGAAAAAAGAAACCATTTTTCATTGTTGCAATAAAATCCTTATTTATTTTAAGAACGTGATGATTGGCATATATGTGTGATTTTGTTGGTTTATTCAAAACTTTAACGAATTGGCAAGCACAATTACATAGCATCGAAACATTGTTGGCCCATTGATAGTACGATAAAAACATAAATAATTCATGGACGAAAACCAATATTTTCATTTGTTCACAAAATTTTTTGCACAAGAATAAATCTTTCAAATCTATTTGTGTCACCACAATTAGAATGCGGTAAAATGTTGTTTTTCGAGTGCCTTCACTAAAAAGCATTCCGTGTCTACAAGAGTAATGCTACACAAACATTATATGGTCAATTGCAAGCTGTTGGTAAAATGTCGTTGCCAAATGTCTTTCTGTAATGACGGAAGATTTAACTGGATTCGATAATAATTCTTGCGTTTATGTTAAAAATCTTCTGAGGCCAGGATTTATGCTCAACATCATTATAGAAGTTACTAGCGAAATACCGGAATTGAAAACGTAAAGGAATATTGATTGGTCACAATTGTTGTAGTAATCGGAGATAGAGTGTAAGTGAACTCTAAACCCAACTAATCCCAACACGAGATAGGAAATAACGTACAGTATTTGAAGTTTGACATGGAAAAATTTAATCATTAAAACACTAGTGGACGGTAAGTAACATTCCCCCAATTATATGTGCTAGTGATTTGTACACTTTTAGTTTATGCAATATCATTACAGCTGCAAGGCGTCAAATATTCCGCCGCACCGAATGCAGCTAACAAACAGAATTTTATTGGTGCAATGAAAGTTACACTCTCGTTCATTTCACTTACTGATTCATGATCAGCGGATTCGACTGCATGCAGAAATGAAAAATCATTGAAATAGAACTATGTATCCATGGCTATGAACTATGGCTTCTGCAACAAGCTATCTAATACGATATAGTCGTATTTGGTACGTCATCTTATTTTATACGCTGCGTCCTAAAATGCAACAAATCTAATCTTCTGCCTGGTATTACAATTTTGTACAGTTGTTTGTACAGTACCAAAAAAGAGTTTGTTTTGATATTTTTTCATTTATTTCAGTTTCGACGCTCCTGACAAGAACAAATTTGAACTTGAGCATTTTATGAAAGCCAACGTGCTCATAAATTAAAAACAGCATGCAAGAACGCGTCCCGGTAGAAGCTCATTAAAAATAATACTAGCTATTTTTAACTTTGCTTTGAATTTGGAATTAATTTCCAAACGCTCAATTTTGTCTTTAATTAGCAAGAACTTTAGCATTAAAAATTTTGAATGAAATCATCTTATTGGAGACTATTGTTGCAAACGAATTGATATGCTCCTCCCTTTGGAATTTGGTCTATTGGTTTACTTCATTATGTTTTTTTGTTCAACATATATATCATTGCGCGCTCAACGCAAAAAGGAGAAAAAACGAAAGTGCAACAAAAGTGTTGCTATTTTTAACAAAATCACCATGAAACCAAACAACTATCCAAATATTTAAGGTTTTCGAATATATATCAGTTTTTATGATATCAGTGAAATGAACTCAATTTACATGATCAAAGTGTGTAACATCAACAAAGTTACTGAAAATGATTCTATCATTGGAACAAGTTATGAAACAGCGCTGGGAATAATAGAGCACTTGGTATGCTTTAAATCAGGCGTGGCCAATATGTCGATCGCGATCGACCGGTCGATCGCCACGTCTCGAGCAGTCAATCGCGTCTGATGTTGAGTGAATTTTATTTGAAATATCCCCAAAAATTGCCTCAAATATCCCCAAAAATTGCCTCGAACCAGTTGTGTGTTTTGTAACAGGAAAAATACAGTACTTCACATGCGTAAAATACAATATACACATACAGTATTTGAGTCTGAGCAAGCCCATTAAAGCATATTATCACGTGACAAATGCAAGTTTTTCCGCTGTCAAGGTTTAAAAATGTATATCGCGTGTCTAGACCAGGGTTGCCATATTGGCTTCTTCGACAAAATTCACGATTTTGGCTTCTTTGAAACACGTTTGACGTCAGAATGTCCGCTTGGCTTGTTTTGATGTCCATTCTACTGTCTATTATTAAAATCATTTAAAATACAATACCGGTATCTACCGGTTAGACGAAACGTTACAAAAATATATTTGTGTTAGTGTGCAGCAAGACTATTGAATCACTTAGAATGACATAACAATTGCAGTTTTCAGCCACTCAGACAGATGTTCAAGCAGGCTTCGTTTTCATAGTTTTGCGTGTTACAGTGTTATTTGTCAGTTTTGATTTATGTTTTCAAACAATAGTTGTATGACTTAATTCAGTAATTGAAATTTTGCCTTCCGAGGAGCTTTAGTTTGGTTGCGGTAATCAAAATTCTAGCAAACGACGTGATTATCTGGGCTAAAATCATCACATTTTTTGAGGTATATATATCGCAAGTTCAAGTAGAAACATGTACATTTATTCGTCCTAACGCGGTATACATGTTATATATATATATATCTGAATTGAAAAAATAGTGCTGTCCGCTTAATATTTACTTTTTTTGGCGTTTTGATGTTTCTAAATTTTTTATGTAGATGTCAGCTTGACTGTATTATGCCGGATATAGCCTTCATTCTAATTCTGCCATTCAATAAAAATCCTTCTTAGTTGTAAAATGCAAACCCTTGATCGTGCTGAAGTGGAAATCGTCATGATAGCAACCAAAACTATAAATTTTAGGATTTAGCATTTGATGTGGTTCACTAAATCAATTGCTGGCTCTAAATCAGCATATTGCGAACTGTGTAAATCCACTATTGTGCTAGGAGTTTCAAATCATGAGGTTTTTGTACTTGTTAAAATTGTTGGCTTTTTCTGTCTTGATTTGGCTTTTTTTCATCACTGGGATCTGTTAACCCTGGTCCAGATTGACAAACGATTCTACAATTATGGCAGTATGCGAAAGTTATTGTCTCACTCCAAGAGTAGTGTGATAAATTTTATTCGCAATGGTAGCAGTGGAAAATGCCCAATTTGTTCTAATTCTAAGCAAGCGAAGAATCGCGTTTGGAGGAAATTGTAAATTAGATATATACTGAAGTTTGAGCAGTCATGTAACATTCATGGTTTGAGAATATTTATTTTTCGCTATTCGGATAATACTTGGCAAGGTTTCTTGAAGAATTTTCAACACTTACAACTAAAAATTAGTCACGCCTTTTATCTGAATTGTATGATTTGAATAAATCTTAAATAAATAATGACTCCGGGTACAAAATATTTGAATAACTTAAATGGAACATGAAAAATACAAATTTTGTGTCGATTTTGCGAATTTGTTGTATGCGTGTGTGCAGTTATCTGCATATCAAGTGCCCATTCGTTTTTGTGTGAGACTTTATTACCGATCAGTCGATCGCGATCTATTTTGAAGATTTTAGTCGATCGCGGTCGAAAGCAGGTTGGCCACCCCTGCTTTATATGTTCGGAAGAAAAATATGCTTGAGAGCATATCGTTTTAGGTCGTTCAGAACACCGAATGCTATTCACCGGTTAGTCGTCGTCGTCACCGGTTTCTTCGTATATATGATGTTCAAGTCAACAAAATTGCACACTAAAATGCTACGCTCATATCTGACCCACATTCGTCAGTTTATCAATTATTTGGGCATTCATGATTCATGAATAGGTTTCATGTTCTCTGTTTTTAAAACAACAATAATATGTTACCTGGATTAACGGGCTTGTCAAATGGAATCTCTTTGGCATTTGTAAAAACTGGTACACATATGGGAAAATGTAGCCTATTCCTCGTTTACGCTTGAGTTATTTATTATTTTCCAACACTCAGTGTATCTCCGCTCTGATGTTATATGCTTAGGTCGCAGTTAGTATAAGTTTATTTTGCCTCAAATAATCTTTCATAAAAAAGATATTATATTTGATAAAAACGAAATAAATATAACTGATTGCAGAATCAGGAGAACAAACCTTAAATAAGGTTTAAATCGTACAGATATTAGATTGAAAGATGTTGCCAAAAGAAATGGTACGTGTTTGCTCACTCAGAAGTATTAATTCGCACACGCACATACATGATGCAACCACGAAGACAGAATAAAATCAGACGAGAAAAAAAGAGGAACGCAAGATACATTAGTTGGTAAACAAAAAGGAAAACTATACAAATACATAAAAA